CCCGGCCGCCCCCCAGCCGCAGCTCCAGCTCCGCCCGCTCGCAGGCCTCCTTGAACTGGCTGGGGAACATGTTGCTTCCCACCAGGCTGGCCGTGCCCTCGGTGTCCCCCGCAGGGACCTCCCTGGGCACCAGGAACGGGGCCGTGCTGCTGGCCGGGGGGCCATATATGTCCGGCGGGAACTCGGGGTCCAGGCAGGCGGGCAAGTCTGTGACGGCGCAGGAGGGCAGGAGCACGTCCCGCAGGCTGGGGCAGCCGTAGTGGGGGTAGTCCTGGGGCAGGCAGTACTCGAAGGCCTCGGGCATCGGCATCGGCATGGGCTCCACAGGGGCCAGGAGGGAGAACGTGTCCTCTGCAGCCAGAGCACAAAGACCCAGTCAGGTCGCGCCCCAGAGCAGAGCAGAGCAGAGCAGAGCGGGACTGCGCAGCTGCGTCCTCGCAGAGGGGAGGGCTCTGGTGCCCGGCACAGCTGGCCAGGGGCTCCGGGCAGGCCCCATGGGCACCACGTCCTCCGGTCCTGGACTGACCTGCAGCCTGGGGTGTGACAAAGTGGTCCATGTAGGCTGGCTTCTGCTTCCGCCTCTTGGCTTCGATCCCATGAGGGTCTAAGGGAGAGAGAAGAGGAAGCCTCAGAGCCCCTGGCCCCACGTGGGCAGGGAGCACCGCTCTGCAGAGGGGACCGGGTGGTGCGATGCCTCCGCAGGGAGGGGAAAGCTGAGGGGACCCTGCTGGGTGCAGGGGAGGGTCCCAGCCTCCACCAGGCAGCCCAGAGCCCCCGTGGCACCCACCGGATCCAGACAGCTCCTCCAGCACGTCAGGCATCCCCCGCTTCCGCTTCGCATTCACCCTGTAGGCATCTGCAGAGAAGACGGAGCCGAGCAGGGTGTCAGCCGGACCCAGCCTGTCCCCTGCCCACGTGCAGGAGGCTGCTACCTGCAGGGACTGCATGCTAGCACCCTTGCACGGGGGCTCTGTGCCCCTCTCCCACTCTCAGGGGGCCATGACTGGGGTGCCGATCCCAGGGCGGGGGTTACCGTGGTCCTTGGGCAGGTAGGTGAAGGGGAAGGGCTCGCTGCAGACACTGTCAGTCAGGCGTTGCAGGAACACGGCCACCTCCACAGGCTCAGGGATGTCCAGGTGCTGGTATGGGGGTGTCTTGAAGACGATGGCGACCTGGCGGTGCACGTCGGCCTGCGAGAAGTCGGCCTTGGCCTCCCAGGTATCCTTCCGGAAGATGACGGCAATGTCCTCTGCAGGGGGCGTGGGGTGAGGGGGCAACAGGGCCAGGCTGGGCTGGGGCACATGGAGCTCTGCACCCCTCCCAGCAGATGGGGCTGGCCCGGCCCCCCCAGGAACGGGTCCAGGCCTGGGCACCAGATGCAGGCAGCTCGGACACCTCCCGTCTCTTCCCTGGGCCCAGCTGTAGCTGGGGCTCTGCAGGCCCCAAGTCCCTCACAGGCAGCTGGGGGACCCCCTTTCACCCCCCACACCCCACCACCCTCCTGCCCCCAGCTCCAGGCCCCCTCGATGGGCTCCCACCCCTCCTTTGAGCTGCAGCTGGAGCTGTCCCCTCCACCAGGACCCCCCACCCAGGGCAGCGAGGCTGAGCTGTAGTCCCCCACTTACCTTTCTGGACCTTATCGCAGAGCAGGTACATCTCCTCCCCACCCGCGCAGGGCCCGCACTCCTTGTTCATGCGGCAGATGCGCAGCTCCGACGTGTTGGTGGACTCTGTGTGCACCAACACAGGCTCAAGCAGAGGCAGCAGTATGGCATGGGAGCCTAGCCTGAGGGAGCAGCCCCAGCCACACCAGGACAGGCCTGTCCAAAACCGGTGGCGAACCACGATCCCCCAGGTTGTGCTCCAGTGCATGGGAGCATCTGTCTGCCATGAGCGGCATGGGGGCCAGGACACACAGGAAAGCAGCTGCCAGCCAGGCGAGCAGATACTGCCTGCACGTGGGACCCACACAAGAAGCCGAGGCACGAGGCAGGCCAAGGTCACAGCCCCCAGCCTGCCCAGCCACCCTCCAGCCCCCACCCTGGCCACTTACTCTTGTCAAAGATGGGCTCGGAGAGCACGGGGCTGAGGTGCCGTGTCTGCCCACTGGTGTCGCGATAGGAAGCCTGGAAGCAGATCCGCACCACGTTCATGTCTACCTCCTGGTGATTCTTCAGGGAGCCAGCTGTGGGGGGAGACGCAGTGAGTGGGGCTGCTGAGTGAGTGCCCCCACCCCCAGCTGCAGCGCAGGGTCTCCCCCCACCCTGGATGGCCCCAACGTGACCGTCCCTGCCCCCTTTCCAGTGGGAGAGGAGGCCGTGGGTCCCTCTGGAGCCTGGGGACCTCCTCCCCGCAAAGAAAAAAGCAATTCTGGACCAGGAGAGTGAGACTGTCCAGCCCCGTGGTCCCAATCCAGATAGCTGCAAGCCCTGAGCTATGACCCGACTGTGCCACCCACCCGCTCCACATCCTGCCTCCAGAACCAGGTGCGCAACACCCCCTGCAAACCTGGGGTGGGGCCAGGCCAGCAGAGGAGCTCTGGGATGCAGGGCATAGGGTCGGAGGGGCCTGGGGGTGTCCCCATGGGACTTTGGTGGGCTCCCAGATCCCCTTGGAGCTCCTGGGCTGAGCTGGGCTGGGTTGCAGGCAGCAGGTGTGGCCCCCCCCCCCGGGGTCACCCACCTTTGAAGGGGTCGATGCCCAGGTGTAGCTTCTTCTCGATGGCCCCCTCGATCTCCTTCTTCTTGACACACTGGATGCCGAGATTGCTGAAGCTGCCAGGGCCAAGAGGACATGGGCTGGAGGCTGGCCAAGCTCCGTTGTGCTCATGAGCTGCCCTCCTTCCCTGCCCTCAGCCACGGAGGGGGCACCACTGCATGGGGTGCTGAAGGGGTCGATGCCCAGGTGTAGCTTCTTCTCGATGGCCCCCTCGATCTCCTTCTTCTTGACACACTGGATGCCGAGATTGCTGAAGCTGCCAGGGCCAAGAGGACATGGGCTGGAGGCTGGCCAAGCTCCGTTGTGCTCATGAGCTGCCCTCCTTCCCTGCCCTCAGCCACGGAGGGGGCACCACTGCATGGGGTGCTGCCACGTAGCACCCAGGGGCGATGCCAGCCCCAGCCCTGGCCCCTCTGGTCCAGCCACTACTGAGCATGGTCCCCCCTGGGGCTCCTCCTCCGAGCCCTCTGCCTCCTTCAGAGCTCTCCCAGGCCCAGAGAGAGACACGGGGATGCCCAGTCCCCACCTTCTGCCTGGCCCCAGCTCCACAGGGCCCCTTCACCTTCCCCACATGGCAGCCAGCTGAGAGGCCAGGTGGGAGGAGCTCTGAGGGGATCTGGGAGCCCACCAAGGCCCCGCAGAGACACCCCCAGGCCCCCTCCGACCCTGTACCCATGCCTCTGCCCTGCCTGGACAGGCCTCCACCTCCGCATGGGGCCCCCTGGCTTGGTGTGTGCCCCTAGGCTGCAACCTAGGAGGGGCTGCTCTGGTCCCAGGGCCAGGACCCCGAACCACCTGGCTCTCCCACCCCAACCCCTGGCAGCAGCTCCTGGGAGGTGCTTGGTCCCCAGCCAGCGGGACGGAGCCCGGGGCACCGCAGCTCCGGCTCCTCCAGCAGACAGGGGCTGGGGTGCCAGGGGCTCCGTGCTAGCCCAAGGGCAGGGAACAGCAAGGAAGAAGCCACAGCACTGGGAAATCGCTGTCAGGCCACGGCTGTCCAAGGGCCCCAGATACTGAGCCTAGGCCACCCCCGGGACGGGGCCATGTGGAGGAAGGAGTCTCCTCACCCCAACCCCCAGGGCTGCGCAGCTGGTACCTGTGCTTGGGGTTGGTCTGGGGCTTGAGGGTGACCTCGCAGAGCCCATTGCTGCAGTCCTTGCCCACAAGGCCGTGAGGGTGGATACGGAACGGCCAGTCCTTCCACACCAGGCAGGCCGTCACCTTCACCTCTGGGATCTTCTGGCAGTTCAGCAACTGGGGAGACGCCAGAGGCTCATTGCAGGGGGTATGGGGTGGGGGAGGCTGGTACAGGGATAACAGGGAGAGAAACCAGGCCCCCACCCTGGACAGGGGGCTCCCAGCCCCTCTCCCAGGGCAGGCAGGGAGCCCAGGGCAGGTTGGGTCCCCTGCGGCCAGGCCAGGCCAGGCCAGGCCAAACAGCTCAGCCCTGTTCCAACGGGGAGTCCAGTTCTCATTGTACGAGAAAGTGGAGCACAGGGTCCAGAGGTGCCCCCACGCCTGCCCCTGGCTGGGGGAGATGGGATGGTGCCTGGGTCCAGGGTCCTACCCCATCGTGGGGGGTGGGATGGGAGGAGGGGTAACCCAGCCAGGCCTGCCTGGCTCTCCAGCAGGAGCTATTGGGGGCAGGGGGTGAGCGCAGGGCCCCTGCCCAGTGCCCTGCCCCCTCCTCACCTCAATGGCTGGCAGGGTCTTGCTGGCCTCAGTGCTACTCTCGCCCAGGATGCTGCCAGCTGACCGGCCCTCACACTCATAGCGGAAGCGCATGCCCCGCTGCTTTGGCTGCTCTGTGATCACCAGCTTGGGCGGCTCCAGCATGTCCTCCAGCTGCTCCTTGGCCGTGGGCATGGACCAGTGGTGCTGGGCGGGCGCGGCGGTGGATGGGAGTGGCGTCCCCCGTGGCACCAGCCTCGGCGACAGCGTCAAGTTGCCCAGGCTCTGGGTGAGCTGGGGGCCCCGGGAGACAGGTGGCAGCAGGGGGGAGTCTCCAAAGGGCCCCAGAGTCCCTGGCAGCGAGCCGGACCCCAGAGGCTGTGGGTGGTGCAGCGATCCCGTGGGCACCATGGGGCTCGAGCCCCGGGGCACCAACTTGGCCGGGCCCTTGGGCATAGGCCTGGGCAGGAAGGACGGGGTGTCTGGCTGGAATCCATCCTCCTTCATCAGCTCCTCAATGATCTCTGTGGTGGGGGGGGCACCATCAGGGCACAGCTGCAGAGACTTGCCCGGGGGCAGCGGGAGCAGCCAGGGGTTGGCACGAGTCACAGGCAGCATCAGGATGTGGTGGCAGGGGGCCTCTGCCAGCCACAGCCACGCACAGGGCTGTCCACCCTGGCCTCTGAGCCCTGCCCTGCACACACTGCCACAGTGCCCACCTTCCTCCCGGCACGTGCCTGCTGCCAGGTAACAGATGCGGGCAAAGCCGCTGGCCTGAGCTCCAGCGCCACCCAGCCCCTGCAGCAGGGGAGCTGATCCAGGGACTCAATCTCAGGGAGGGAGGGGGGACATCTTCCAGCCTGGCTGCTGCAGCACAGGCATGCCCAGGGCACTGCTAGAAGTAGCCCCGGGCCCCACCCAACACCTCCCAGCAAGACACTCCTCCCCTAGTGTAGATGAAGCCCTGCGACAGCAGTCAGTAACCGCGCGCCAGGGTCGCTGGCCTGAACTGCAGGCAAGGGCATACCCAGCCCAGGGGAGCCAGGCTGAGTCGGCCAAGGCTTCTGCTGCCAGGTGGATGTGGAAGGAGAAGGGGCAGGGGCTGGGCACACCCCCGCTTCCCTGAGCGCCCAGCAAAGGGCGCTGCCAGCACCTGTGGCAGCCAGTGAATGGCCTTTGCTCCGTGTTTGCCTAGGGCAGGGCTCCTCTGCCCCAGCCCAGCTCCTGCATCATGGCACCAAGAGGACAGGCCCGAAGGCAGAGGTGGAGCCGCACCGGGGGAATCACTCCTGCCCAGACCCCAGGGCTCCGCGGGGGCCGGCAAGCTTCTCCCGTCTCCGTGGCCTTGCAGCAGCTGGCAGCACCTACGGGTCCCCTGGCCTGGGCTCTGGGCAGGGGGGCACAGGGGCTGGAAGCTGCCCCGACCCCACAGACCGCACCTCCGTCCCCTGTCACCGTCACACCAGCCAGTGGGTCCCGCAGGCTGCGACCGCCCTGGCAAGCCCCAGGGCTGCACGTACCTGCTCCTGCCGCACCCCCACGCCCAGAGGTCACTCACCTAAATCCTCTGCAGAAGAGAAAGGAGAGGCTGGCTCTAGTTTGGCGCAGACGGCTACTCTCCCTCCCCCTGCCCAGGAGCCCAGCCACCCGCCAGGACCCAGGGCTGGCAGGAGCCCCCGGGCACCAAGCCCAGCGCCCAACGCTGCCCCTGCTCTGGGAGAGCTCCCGGGGACGGGGGCTGAGGCTGTCGTGGGGCAGCGCAGGAAGCTCCCAGGATCCCTCTGCTGCAGGGGCCAGGGGGCATGCAGAGGGCCCGAGATGCCCGCGGCCCCGGAGCAAAAGCTCCTCCGCCCCGGGAGCTGCCTGCCTCAGTCCCCCC